GAATAGAATAGAATAGAATAGAATAGAATAGAATAGAATAGAATAGATATTGGAATGTAGAGTAGAACAGAACAGAACAAAATAGAATAAATATTGGATTGTAGAGTAGTGTAGAGTGGAGTAGAGTAGAGTAGAGTAGAGTAGAGTCGAGTCTAATAGAATAGAATAGAATAGAATTCTTTATTGGCCAAGTGTAATTGGACACACAAGAAAATTTATCTTCGGTGCATAAGTTCTCATTGTACATAAAAGCTATAAGTGATAAATCATGATCATAGCCATCATAAAAACAAGAATTCATCATAAGATGCAACCCTTAATCACGGAATCAACACAAACCGTACTAGGAAACAAAACAAAACAATGTAAATCGTAAAGATAGAAGCCACAACATTATAAGGGGAGCAAATGCAAACTTTCAGGGTTCACCCATGGCAGAGAAAGTCAATGAGGTGGGCTGGAGAAGGCAACTCACCAAGGTTTCCCAGCGGAAGATGTTGCTGTAGAAACAAATCCAGTTTTCAGAGAGGTAGAGTCGTCCTTGCAAGAGAATATCTCTTTGAAGGGCACAGGAGTAATCTGTAGGAAAAGCCAGGCAGAGGGAGGGACATGATGTAGCCAAAAGGACATAAATATTTATAAAGGATGCAAAAATAACTGGATGTTTCTGTACACGGTAGAAAATAAACAGGGACCAGTTGGGTTTCTCGCAGTCTAAACAACGACAGCAGGAAAACAAATTTGGGTAGATGGACAAGGAAGATAAATAAAAGGGAGGGAAAAAGAAGCTGTTTTTGGCAGCGGGAATTGTTGAAGCATCTTTCAAACAGGGGCCCATTAACAAAGATCCTGGACAAACTACAGATTACACCCAGAAAAAAAAAATTACAATGCAGGTAGCTCTCGATTTAAGGCCACAATTGAGCTTAAAATTCCTGTGGCTAAGTGAAACATTAAAGTGAATTTGGTCCCCTTTTTAAGGACCTTTCTTTGCCACAGCTGTTAAGTGAATCACTGCACCGGTTGAGCAGGGGTGGGATTCAAATTTTTTAACAACCGGTTCTGTGGGTGTGGCTAAGTGGGCGTGGCCATGTGACTGGGGGAGTGTGGCTTCTTCTTCCTTTTTTTTGCAGGACTCCCCCCATTTTGGGGGCCTCCTGGGCCTCAGGGAAGCCTCCGGGGCGAAGCAGTAAGACAGTGAGGGGGATCCCAGCACAGCTGATCATCAGAACAGCTGATCATCAAAACAGCTGATCATCAGAACAGCTGATCATCAGAACAGCTGATCATCAGGAGAAGAAAAAGAGAGAAATACCTTAAGGAATGTCTGGGCGGGGGTGAATGCAGTCAGCGATGTTGTGCATGCACGTTAAGGACTAGGTGGGTGGGGCAGGGCAGATGGAGAGAGGCGGGGCCAGCCAGAGGCATGATTTGCCAGTTCTCCAAACTGCAGAGAATCATAGCAACCAGTTCTATAGAATTGGTCCAAACTGGTAGAATCCCACCCCTGCGGTTAAGTTAGCAACATGGTTGATAAGCGAATCTTGGCTTCCCCATTGGCTTGGCTGGTGAGAAGGTTGCCAAAGGAGACCATGTGATTCCCCCACCAGGATGCTTTTCAACCGTCATAAATATGAGTCAGTTGCCAAGCATCCAAATGAGACAAGCCTCTTCTCAAAGTTCCATTTTATTAGAGTTGTGTCATATCGGCACGTCTGGGAAAACCCAAATCTGAAAGTTCCAGGTTTTCCCTTCCCCCAAAGAAATTCAAAGTTGCATCCCTTGCACCCATCAGTCCATCACATGGCCCAATCAAATGTCGTCCCAACTGGAGACATCCCTTGTGCCACTCCTCTCCAGATGAAGGTAACTTGTCCTTGACCTCTAGAGAATCATGTTGTTGTGTCTAATCTTCCACCTCTCTATGCAATCCCCCCTCCCAATTGCCCAGGCAGACAAATGCGGCAGCCTCGAAGCTTCTAAGTAAAATATGCCTTCCAAGGATGACACATAAACCTTTCCCCTTCAGTAATAATGTATTGCTGTTAAGTAAGAAGATCGTAAATTTGGAAAATCTCTCGATAATCCATAGATAAAGGCTTTTTCCTCTTCCTGGTCTAAGGTTGTTCCAAACCAGTTATTCTCACCAGGTGGGTGAGAAGGGTGGGTGGAATTCCCCAAGCAGCTCCTGGCACCAGCCTAATTTGTTGTTTTTAACCCACTTTGATTCAAGTTACACAATTGTTGCAAGCTAAAAAAAGGCATGCTTTTCACCCGTGGGCACGCATAACTTCCAAAAATGAGGAGTCTGAGATTTAATCTAGATTGCCACTGCCGTTGGAGAAAGAAAGGTGACCAGATTTGGCTGCAGAAATACGGACAGCATTAAAGGTCAACAAAGAGATACAGAAAATTCCTTCCTTGCTGACATCCAGTCATGGTGTAGATTTTGGCAGCCAGGATATTACACCGATATAAGAATGAAATCTTTGCGGTTAATTATTAACGGGTTTAAATGGAGTTTTGTCAAGTTTGGCCCTTCACATTGTCATCGATTAAAAAGAAACTTTCCTTCTGTCCACTTGGAAAAAGAATAGGGCCTGTTTTACTACTAGAAGTTGCTAACTAGTTATCTTTTACTGTCATTAAGCTGGCTGACATAACACTTTCCTCTCCCTGCTCCTGGAAGTAAATTTCCTCTTTGAATAAAGAATCTAGCAAACTTGCCTTTAAAAAGTCACCGAAATGTAATATTGATTCAGACTTTGAGCTAATTAGGCGATAAGGGTAATTGTTCTGGAGCAAGACACTCAACTCTGTGACTTTTAACACTTTAGAGGCCAAATTTTCCTTAAATATGGAAATGAATTTTTTTTCCTGGAATTTTTTAAATATTGTATTAATCATAAGTTCATTTTTTTTCTGTTTCAGGCAAAAGTCTATAAGGAGTTTCTAGTCTGCAATAAATGTGGATTCAGTGCTGTCTTTTTTCCAATCGAAGAAGAAGTTGGAAATTTAGTTTTCAAAAGTTTTCAAAAGAGGTGTAGTTCAAAAGAGGATTCATTTTCAACCATTCTCGTCATGGTTAGCCGAAAGGTGTTTTTCAAACGGCAATTGGACTTCCTTGTTTTTTCTTCTTCTTTTTCCTTGAAAACATTTCGCTTCTCATTCAAGAGGCTTCTTCAGACTTGAAGAAGCTTCTTGGAAGGGAAGTAAAACATTTTCAAGGGAAATTCCCCCCCCCCGCCCCCCCAAAAAGTCCAGCTGCCTTTTGGAAAAAGCATCATTGGGACGCTTTGATGAACTGAAGAAAAATAAATACGACCAGACAGATTGATACCTTTGAACACCCCTTGAGTGAGACAGGGTGAGATGGAGAAATTTTCTTCCTGGACAAATAACAAACCTTTTCCCAGCCTCAACCGAAGAGGCTGGCTTTTATGATTCCTGAGAACAGGAATCAAAATTTTTTAGCAAACAGTTCTCTGCCCGGTTGCTGGGTGGGCGTGGCCATGGTGGGTGTGGCCTAGTCGACCTCCTGCACCATGGTTTGGAGGGGGGACGTTTTCACCCTTTGTGGGCTCCGGAGGCTTTCCTCGAGCCTCCAGGAAGGGGAAAATGGCGTCCTCAGGCTCTGGAGGTCCTCTGGAGGCTGGAAACAGGCCCATTTCCGGCCTTCTGCAGCTTCCAGGAGACCTGTTTTTCACCCTCCCCGAGCCTCCATGTGGGCCCTGTACTTACCTGGGGTCCAAAACAGGCTGCATGAGGGGAGGGGTAGCTACCAGTTTGGTATCGGTTCACCCAAACTAGGGAGAATGAGTAGGAGGCCACCCCTGCTGGAGAACCTTTGCCTTGTCGCCGGCCTGGAAAGAAGGGAGGATTGTCTTACCAACAATGAGGCGCTCCGTCTCGGGAAGCTGCTTGAAAAGTTTCCTGAAGTCTTCATTCCGTTGTTTGTAGGTGGGACTCAACACCTGGGAAGAGTGGAAGGACCGTTAGAAGGAAAAGGAGCTAAAGGAAGATCAGAGGAACAAGCTGGGAAAACTTCTTTATTCTCTGTCTACAAAGACTCATCCCGCCCCCCAAGGTGTGCTCAACTCCTGGGAGGAAGGGAAGGAGGGAGGGAGGGAGGGAAGGGGAGAAGGAGGGAGACGGGAGAGAAAGAGGAGAGGGAGGGAGGAAGGGGGAAGAAGATAGAGAGAAAGAGAGAAAGGGGAGAGAGGAAGAAGGAGAGGGAGGGGGAGAGATTTGAAGTAAGCAAGCAAAAGCAATTGATATGTAGACAGACAATGATAGATAGATAGATAGATAGATAGATAGATAGATAGATAGATAGATAGATAGATGATAGAAGGAAGGAAGGAAGGAAGGAAGGAAGGAAGGAAGGAAGGAAGGAAGGAAGGAAGGAAAGAAAGAAAGAAAGAAAGAAAGAAAGAAAGAAAGAAAGAAAGAAAGAAAGAAAGAAAGAAAGAAAGAAAGAAAGAAAGAATCTAAGTCAGGCAGAAGGACCATCCATTCCTTCCCTATTATTGATGCCTTAACACTGAATAGTGAAGAAGGTACTATCTGCACCAAACAATTATTGAACATTGTTTTTATTAAAGAAAATCTTGTTTTGAGAGTCGCATCCTCATCCTCATCCCCATAATTTCTCCTTCGTATTAACCAAGAGTAAAGCACTAAGCGATAGTTCAGGATTGAACTTGCAAACCCTTCCGCGTAGCAGCAACAAGACGCTTCTAAGCAAGAAGGAGACGGGCATCTTTAGGGGACCCGTTTTGGACAAGACACCACTCACAGCTGGAATTTCTTCCCAAGCTGAATCATGATCATCTTCGGGAAAATCGCACAGCCATTTCAAGTGGCAAAGCAGGCACGGGTCCTCCAATTCCAAGAGAAAGCTCCAAAGAATTCCACATTCGGAGAGGACATCCATGGCTGCCGCAGCGTCTTCTGTTCTTAAGTCTTCACCGCCACACAGGACAAACGTCCTTTACTTTCCACAACTGTTCACCAAAATAAGAAGCCGCAGTGGATGCTTGCTTGAGGACACGAGACTAATTTTCCCCATCCGCTCCTGGGTGGCTTTGGAGACTCCAAGAGGGTAAGGAAAGCAATCCACTTGTCCAGGACAATTTGAGAAGACCACGTTCGTTCGCAACCTCGAGTCCAATCACAGCTCCCTTGCTTCACCGCACGTCACAAAGGGTGCCTCAAGCTGGAGGCGCTCCAACATTTCTGCTCTCTGAAAAGTTGTGTCCAGGGATCAAGTTCTATGCTCTGGACAGGGTCATGCTTCTAATTCCAGAGATCCACGGTGTCGAATCTTCGCCATTCTAAACCGTAGCGAGAAAGCACAAAATCTGTCACAAACAAACTGAACTTCAGATGTTTTATTCCCACCCACCCCCCCAAAAAACAAAAATCAATCTTGCAGAATCTTCTCGCATCTGGGACTTATCTTTGGAGGAGCTGCAAAATATTCCTTCTGGTTCAAGTTTTCCCCTCTGAATCCAGGATGAGCTCAACAGTAATTTCTGAATTCACTCCGTTACCAGTTATCACGGGGGGACTTTCCTTGCTTCCTCTCTTCTCTGAAGAGACAGTTTTGTTCTTGGCTTATTTGTGTGTGTGTTTCTCCCTCCCCTCTACTTGTAGAAGAAGCGGGTGGGAAAAAGACAACTGAAATGTTTTGCACATGCTTTACATTTCAGCCTCTGGGTGATTGTGTTGGCCAATGCCCTGGAGTAACCCAGCCAGGGCCCTCCCATCCAGCAGATGTTTCCTGTAATGCAAAGTTGCTGGGCTGAGTTTGTTTTGGAGGGTGGAGAGAAGACGACACCAACGAGAGCCAATCTCCGAGCGTGAAATCCCAAATCCTCCCTCGCTGGGGACTGTTTTGGTTGAACTCTCGGCATGGATCTTTGAGAACAGCCTGGTTGGGTTCGAGTAGAAACGGAGCTCCCTTTCACTCAACTCCACTATCCCACCTTCTAGGAGGCGTATCAAGAACTTTGGAGAACTTCCTTCGCTGTTTGCTCACGTCTTCAAAGGAACACCTTCTCGGTCTTTTCAAACTCATTTGAACTTGAATGACTCGCTAAGAGAGGTAAAGTTAGGATTTGAAAGCGTAATGCAAGTTTATAGTAAAGTGCAGCCCCAAATCACAAAGTGAAGTGAGGCTCATCCACGTGAGCAATGAATAAATCTTGTCTGAAGCCATTCTGAGGTCTTTCCAGGGACTTCAATGACAATTCCCGTCTTTGATAACTGTCAGCCTCTCTTTGGCTTGAAACAGTTCAGTAAGTCGAGGAAACTTTTCCATGGAATGGAAAAGAATCATTACTGGAAGTTGACTTATTATTTATCATATAGTGCATTCACATCATAATTTCGATAAAAACATAAGAACTAAAGTTACAAAATACAGAATAGAATAGAATAATTGAGTTGGACGGGACCTTGGAGGTCTGCTAGTCCAACCCCCTTCTTAGGCAGGAAACCCTACACCACGTCAGACAAATGGTTATCCAATCTCTTCTTAAAAACTTTCAGTGTTGGAGCATTCACAACTTCTGGAGGCAAGTTGTTCCACTGGTTAATTGTTCTCACTGTCAAGACATTTACCCTTAGTTCTAGGTTGGTTTTCTCATTGATTAGTTTCCATCAATTGCTTCTTGTCCTGCTTTCAGGTGCTTTGGAGAATAGCTTGACTCCCTCTTCTTTGGGGCAGCCCTTGAGATATTGGAAGACTGTTATCATGTCTCCCCTAGTCCTTCTTTTCATCAAACTAGACATTTCCAGTTCCACCAACTGTTCTTTATATGTTTTAGCCTCCCGTCCCCTAATCATCTTGGTTCCTCTTCTCTGGACTCTTTCTAGAGTCTCAAAATCTTTGAAATATAAACTCTGAAATATTATAAATGTACATCTGATTACACTTTTTTTTGCTTCATTTGTCACAGCCAGGAAATCAGCAAAGCCTCTACTGAGGCTTCTATTTTGGCATTCTGGCTGTATATGTTGGATAGATGACTTATGAATAAATGACCTGAAGACTACCTGTATTTGCCCTTGCAGTTTGGGGGGTAAAGCCAACTTCATGGTTTATGTAGAATACCAGCTGCTAAAAGCAACCTTGGTCTACTCTGGGCGAAACCAGAGTAACTGGTAGATGGTAGATGGAACACTTCTGAAAACAATGGAGTCTTTTCAGTGCTGGATTGATTGATGGCTCCTCCTCTCTTGAGGGATAGGTGGATGGGTGGAGGGATGGATCGATGGAGGGATGGAGAAGCCTTAGAAAGGTCAGAAAGATCTTATCTCTCCCTGCCCAAAGTGGAAGGAAACAACCCTTGAAGAAACAGAGAAGGGAGTAAACATTAACTCTACAGCAAACAGAAGGAGCTGGGACAGTCTGGTACAGGAAGAGTAGAAAGTTAATGACTGGGTGGGTAGTGAGATGGATGACGTAGCAGGAGACACAATGGCTCGGGCTCTTGGGTTGGTTGACCTCTTTCAAGTGCGTGTGTGGCAGGATGGAAGCGTTTGGTGCTAATGTGGCTTCCAAAGCTGACACGAGGCGCTTTTGGTCACAAAAACCCAGCCGAACGTAGCAGAAGGAAATCAAAAGAGGGCACAGGACAGAAGCAGTGGCAGGCGGGGAATCTGCCCAAGCCAATAAGAACCATGAGAAGAGACGAGGGTCATCAGATCCAAGAGTTGAGGGTCATGAAAAGGTAGAACGATCAGAACACAAGATGGTGGGAAGGAGAAGTTACCGTGTTGACCTCAAGAACAACTACAAGGCAAGAGAAGACTTGCATGATTGTGATCACTGTGCTATAGCTCAGCTAAAGTAAAAATAAAAACTATAAGTGCAAAACACACACAATTATCATCTTTTGCTGCTTTTCTTTTATTTGCACTGAGCCAAAGGCCTCGGTTACAGGTATTGACAGATGACGAGACAGCCAATAATACTGGAATACATTCAATCAGAAATATATTTAACAGAATAACAAGAGTTGGAAGAGAGCTTGGAGGTTCGTCTAGTTCAATCCCCTAATTTGTGCTTCAGGAGAGATCTATAAACAGAGTGTTTTCCTGCATTTCATACCAGTTGAAGAATGCATTAATCTGAGATAGGGGCTAACATTAAAAAAATTTTCAGTATGGTTGAAGGAATGGGTGAATTTAACCAATAAGAGAATATTATTCTTAGAAGACCATGACTTGCAGAGGGGGTGGCATGCTTTTTTATGGGGTGTAGGGTAAACTAGCCAGAAATATTTCCACAGACACCTAATCAGAGACTCATTATTAACTAATTGGAAGAAAATACGGAAAAACCACTATTTAAAAATGCCAATTTGGATTTCAACAATGGAGGCGATGATTCACCCAAATAATCTGGCTATCACTAAAATGATTAAATATAAGGACCTATTGGATACACAAGGAAATTTGAAATCGCGGCAAGAACTTCAAGAGCGGGGACTAAAAATTGATCAGTGGGCATATCTTCAAATTCAAAGTAGATATAAACAGGACAAGAAAGAATTCGTAATTAACAGTAAACTCCAGCATTTAGATAAAATTTTATTAGGATCAGGCAAAAAAAATATAACAAAATTTTATAATTATTTATTAGAAGTAGAATTAGAAGAAGAAATTGTAAAAGGGAACATGATAGCCTGGAGTAGGAATATAGGACGTAGCATCACCATAACAGAATGGGAAAAGGTCTGGGGTAGAAATAATAAAATTACAAAATTGGTAGCATACAAAGAAAATGCCTATAAAATGTTTCACAGATGGAACCTTCCTCCTTCGAGATTAGTGAAGATGCACCCCAATATGAGTCCGAATTGCTGGAAATGCAAAAAAAAAAAAAAAGAGGGAACTTTTTTCCATATGTGGTGGTCCTGTACAGAAGCTCAAAAATATTGGCAGAAAATTAGAAATTGTCTGGAAGAAATGACAAGAGAACAGATCGAATTCAAACCAGAGTCCTTTCTGTTAGGGATCTTTGATAAACAAATATTTTTAAAAAATGAAATATATAATAATACACATTTTGACAGCAGCCAGATTGGCTTTTGCACAATGTTGGAAGCAGCCTCATGTTTCATCAGAGGAGATGATCATTCAAAAAATTTCAAATTGTGCAGAAATGGACAAATTAACTTTGGCATTAAAAAATAAAGACACTTCAATATACTACAACAGCTGGAACTGCTGGTACAAATGGATAGACCAAAGATAGACTTTACATTAAAAGGCAAAAGAGGATAGGATAAATTAATAGTAGTGATACACAGATATACGTAAGGATTAGGTGTGTGCATATGGCATAACATAAGAATAAAAAAGAGGTCTTACAAACTGTTGAAGATGAGAATGTTTTTAATTGTTTTCTATTTTTTTCTTTCTATTTTCTTCTCCCTTTCTTCTTTTTCTCTCTTTCATTTATGTATGTGTTGTTGTGTTCATTAAACAACCATGGCATTTGTTCAATGACGGTCGCAAAACAAAGTTCTAAAGTTGGATCTAGTCATGTGGGGGGGCTCTACATCATGACTCACAAAGGAAATTCTGAGTTCTGTTACAGTCTTAAGTCAAGGACCACCTGTGTAATAGATTGTCACCTGACACAGCAAATCCTCATGGGGAGTGGAGCTATGGAGACAGCTATGAAGCTGAGATGCCTGCTAATAATCCAGGCTAACACGCTCAAATCAAGTGAAATGGTCAAAACATGCAAAATAACATGGTTCTAGGAAGCTAGGCGGGATAGTGCTTGGACAGACACAGGATTCTACCAATGAAAGCCTACAGGGGAGATTTTCTTTAAAAAGTGGGAAGGTGAGATGAACTTTTGCAGATTAGAAAGTTCACGGGAACCATAGGATGGGAAGGACTAGCAAAAGGGAGGTCACAACAGGAAGGAAGGCTGGTGGGAGGTCAAATCATCAGCAAAAACCTGCAAGAATAGAGCTGGTGCCATCACGGCTTTACCATCTGTGGTCTTCTAAGAAGCTACAAGTTCTGAGTCCATTCTAAGGCGGTAGAGGTTCTACAGCTCCATAGATCAGGGGTCTCCCACCTTGGCAACTTTAAGACTTGTGGACTTCAACCCTGGGAGTTGAAGTCCACAAGTCTTAAAGTTGCCAAGGTTGGAGACCCCTGCCATAGATAACTGTTTTATTAGTAATAAGTGGCCCATACAATGAGCAGGAACATTAGTTGAGTTTCTTTTGGGGTTTTTTTCTTCAGAATTTAAAATTATAGGCATCTCTCAAATCTAGATAGTATCCAGAATTTTTTTTTAATGTTTCCTTTCAGACCATTATTAGAATTATAAAACAGAACCAGGGACCCTTTCGGGACTCAAGAGCATAATGAAAAGTGGGATTTTGATGTTTTTGATTTGGGAAGGAAGGAAACCAGCCCTATTCTATCAGCACTGTTTTCATCTGGGGAAAAACGAGCGGGAGGACGAGGAAAAATAATAATCCAGCAATAGAGCGGTCTTTGCTTACTCTTCGGATGTGTTGTCTTTCATGCTGAAGGTTCATGGAGGAGAAACAAGGTGACATAAATAAAAAAAAACAAGGACAGGACAAGTGCTGCTTGCTTTACATGCATGTATGAAATACAAAACCCACCACAGAACGTTAGCCAAACCATCACCTAGCCTTTGAAAGCAATTGC